CATTGTATATAGAGACGATTGTAGTATAATCAGGATGAACAGGGTAGCCCACCCTCGTCGGCGCCTCTTTCGATGTTACACCGAAGGCCTCAAGATTGAGTTTCCCGTCCTCTGGAATAACGACATCCGTATTCCTAACTGAAATAACCGTCGTGTTCAGATGTCAGTCATAGCCGTTGCGATGGCTGAGTGTGGAGGGTGCTCGTATTTGGAGACAGATTTTCTGCGGGAAATTGCAACTAGCCAGGAAAAATGCTAGAGATATGCTTCCGCCATGGTCTCCTCCGTCGAGAGAAAGCCTGCGGCAGGTGCGGGCAGCCAGGACGCACCCTGCCTCCTTCACATTCTGCGGCAAAGGAGCACCCTCCTTACTAAGTAGCAGAATTAATCAATCAGGTTAGTACCTTAAAAATCCCAAGTTATTGTAGGTTATCGGGACCGCATCTAGTTCGTGTGCGCTCTATCCTGCCGTGAATACGTGGTGGAGGTTTTGTTTCCTCAGCAGGGAAAGTCATGTGAATAACCATGATTATTTTCACTGTGGTTATATTATTAGGGTAATTTTATATATTACATCCGCTACTCCGACATCATCGCCCCCGCTATTGGGGCCAAGTTTGTTGCTAACGGGGGGGTTTCCGCGCAATAAAACCTACATCTTTGCATTGTATAGAGTGAGAGGAATCCAACGATACCAAAATTGTCGATATCGGTTATGCGGACGTAATATAGAAAATTACCCAAAAGACAAAAAGAAAAAGAAACCGGTTAATCTAGAGCACATGGAAATCTAGCAAACTAACAAGGACAAATTCCCTTCTTTGCTTGTAGGATGTCACTGTAAACAAACCATGTAACTTAGAAGATGGCACTCAGGAAGGTAGTATGTGTGCTGCTATCTATTGCTTATTTCGCAGTATTGAGTAAATTTCATGTTGATTTACCATTCTTTGTCTCCAAACAATATAAAGTACCATTACATTTCATTAATTTAACTAATTTCTCTAAACTATTCACATTTTATGGTCTCTAAAATTTGGTGTGTTGCCATAATAATACATGATTTGCTTAGGAGAGACTGAGGCCCAAGTTGTCACCCCTACCTTGGGCCTCAGCCCTTGCCTCAATTAATTTTGCTGTCTTTTCTTCTCCCCTTTTCCTTTTCCTTCTCTTTTCATCCCCTTCTCCTATTCACTTCCTAAGGTGTGAGAGCTGGGCTGAAAGGATGAAAGGCAAGCTTTGTGTCAGTCATGAATGGACTCCAGGAGCCATGGGCATGGTATTCCTTTGGTTGATTATCTAGCTATTATTCCTTATGGGGACCCTGAGGAGTTAACCGTTTTTTTTCCCCATTTATTTTAGGTACACCATGGCCAATAATGAAGATTCTTTACCAGTATTAGGGACATTAAAGCTTCCCCCTTCAACTAGCCTATCTAAATTGGATTTCATTGGTTTCCCAACCCCAGCTTTGACCATGGTGCAGTCCTCAGATACTAATATCCCCCCCCCCTACTATCCCTTGCTTGTTATCAGGGGGGGGTTAGGAGATGGAGACTGAGGCCGAAGATAAGATCACCCCTACAAAATTAGGTGAGGTGAGGCCTGAGGCTCTGCCCCAACTAATTTGTGCATGTTGTTTTCTTCTCCCCCTTTCCTCTTCCTTCTCTTGTTCATCCCCCTCTTTTTTGCTCTTCCTAAGGTCTAAGAGCCATTTTGAAAGGATGAAAGGCTGGATTTGTGCCAGTCATGAACAGCCTCCAATAGCCATGGTATTTGTCTAGTCCTTACCCCTTATGGGGACCCCATTTATTTTAGACTCGTTCTGGTGAATAATCAAGACTCATATTAGGGGCATTAAGCCCTGCCCCTTCAATTACCCTATCTGAATTCAATTTTGTTGGTTGTCCAACCCTTGCCATTTCATTAACCAGTTCCAACCATTGATACTAATACTCCCTCCTTGATGTTTACTGACAACACTATCCATTTCAAACCACCCACCCAGGTCATTACTCAACCTTTAGAATGCACCCCTTCCTTTCTCCAAATATTCTCCACTTCTCCTTCTGCATGTTCTTCTCCATTGTCTACCCCCTCCCCCCTCAGTAGTACTATTTATCCATATTGTCCCTCTCCCCACAGTACGACCTCACCCTCCTTCCTTAGTCCTTTTACTGTTTCCTATTTTGCAAACCTTTTGAGTATTCTTTTTGGCCCAGACAGCTAAAATAATGTCTCTATTCCTTCTTCAGTCACATATACACTCCATTTCATTCAATTGCCTATACACCCTGTTTTCCTGGAATTCACTCAATTGCCCTACCCCGTTAACCCTTCCCTTTCTACTAAACTCTGCTGTCCTTCACTTGCTCCCCTCTTTTCCCTTTTTCATTACCATGCTATCCTATAATGCTCTCTAATCTTTGACATCTAACTCATTTTATCCTAGCCTTTACTCCTCTTTACCCTTTTTGCCACAATACTTTACCTTAGTGCT